ACTTCCGGTTTTCTGGTGGTTTATTGGAGATAAGAGTCTCACAGACTTTCCTGCCTGGGCTGGCTTTGAAACACAATCCTCAGATCTCAGCCTCCTCCAAGGAGCTTGGACTATAAGCATGAGCCACCAGTGCCTGGCTCAACAGTTTTTTTTAATATTTAGAGCTACCTACAGATACAGTACCAACTATAGTGAGCTTTGTGTCTTGGAGGTGTGCAAATACTGGTTGGGCAGTCTTTTGGCTGGACTATTGAAATGACATACATGATATGTTCCTTCCAAGTATTTTTCTGGAAGGGTCCCAAATGACTGCCCTGGTAGGCCCCAGGTCCTGAATCCAAAAGCCAGGCCCTAAAATCCCTTTGATTAGACTAAAGATCTACAAAGTAGGGATTTGTGGCCAGCAGCAGCACCTGGGTGCCGGGTAGAAATGGTAAAATCTCTGCCTCCCATTCAGTCCTGCTGGACCAGAAACTCAGGAGTGAGACCTACCAGGCAGAGACCCCATCTTCCATCTTGCCTTCCCAAGCAGAAAGCAGGTAAAGACATGGTGTAAACTTATTATTGCTTCAAGTTTTATGTGGATTTGGAGGCTCATACAAGAGCTAAGCAAAGACTAGGTTCCCTGAGTATGTCATTTTGTTTCTGTTTCTATATGACAAGGAACGGCCAATTCTTTGCTTGGGCATAAATTATACAAGATGGGTCACTTAGATATCCAGAGTCCTGATTTACATGCAGCCTTGTGAGCCAAGTGTTGAAGGGAAGTAATTAAAGCCCGTCTTTCTCCAAGGGGCACCTCAGATGCTGAAGTGGAACATCAGCATAATATGGGACACACATCCCCCATGATTCAGATTCTCCTGGGATTCTGTTTACCATTGTTTGGGTTACTACCAGCTGGCAGGTTTGACCTGTTGTTTGAATTACTGCCCATGGAATAAGGTGGAGTTATTAAGGTGAATGTCATTAAGACATTCAAGGAGCAGTGGGTCTTGAGTTCTAGGAATGGACCCCTTCCTCCAGCCCCTGGATGTGATAGGTCTGTTATTTCAGTTTCTCTTTGCAGATTCTTCACACATCTTAATCTTTACTTGGAGGTAGGCTGAGCCCTCAGTGCTGCTTGCCTTGGACCCTGTGTCAAGATGTTATTTGAATGCTGGGCACTGGTGGCTCATGCCTGTAATCCTAGCTACTCAGGAGGCTGAGATCTGAGGATCATGGTTCAAAGCCAACCTGGGCAGAAAATCCATGAGATTCATCTCCAATGAACCACTCAATAAACCGGAAGTAGAGCTGTGGCTCAATGGGGTATAGTGCTAACCTTGAGTGAAAGTCAGGAACAGTGCCCAGGTCCTGAGTTCAAGCCCTACCACCAAAAAAAGAGATGGAATTTCAACAGTAGAGTCCAAAGAAATTGTAGATCAGGACCTTTCCCACTTTGTTCAGCACCTGCTGGGACTGCATAAACAATGGCATTAGAAAGCAATGAAAACTTGCTCTGGGCTCTTGGTTAAGCTTGGCAAGTCAAAATCTTTTCTTCCCCCAAAGTAGATTTTTGTCCTTTAGTTGTCTTCCATCTAGTGTGCTGTAAGATCAATCCAGCCCAAGGAACCCCAGAACCTCCTCAAGTACAATAGCACTTGCGTGTCTCTGTTGTGTCCAATCTGTGACTTGGGTGTAGCTTTTACAATGGAATCTTGTTGAGGGCTCTTTAAGAAGGCCTGATCATGTGCACTGAGCCTCATTTATCCAGAGATGTATTTACCTTCCTTCCCCAGCCCCCGTTGATGAAAGCAGGAATGATTTTTTTCCCCCTCCATAAACCATGGCGCTTATCTCAACAGGTTGTATTTGCTTTAAGTGTTCAGCAGGTTGAGTCTTCCCAGCCTGGCGCCTCACTCTACTGGGTTTTTTTCCCCACAGGGTCACAGGATCTGAGGCTATCCTGGAAAGAGTGGCTAACGGATAGGAACTTGAGTTCCTATCGGTTCAAGAATTGTCAGTTCAATACCACAGAGGTTCCATGTGTGATCGCCTGAGCCCTGTTAGCTTGAAAGCCCAAGGAGCAAGGCACCACTGTGCAAGGTCATAGGTCACAAACCATCTCAAGATTTAACTCCTGATGGCCCTGGAGTCCTTCCATCTACACACAGGCTGGCCACGTAAACCAAGGTTCTGTTTGGTGTCAGGGCCACGGCAGTGCTATAGATGGCATATAGAATAAGAGACAAGGGCCAGGCACTGGTGGCTCACACCTGTAATCTTGGCTACTTAGGTGGATTGAGATCTGTTGTGGTTCAAAGCCAGCCTGGGCAGGAAAGTCTCCCATGAACCACCAGAAAACTGGAAGTGGTGTGGCTCAAAGTGGTAGAGCACTAGCTTTGAACCAAAATACCTCAGAGATAGTGCCCAGGCCCCAAGTTCAAGTTCCATGACTGACAGAGAGGGAGAGGGAGAGAGGGAGAGAGGGAGAGAGAGAGAGAGAGAGAGAGAGAGAGAGAGAGAGAGAGAGAAGTAGCATCAGAAATGAACAGGTTTGGGTGGTGGGCCCATTTCTGTTCCCCATCAGGCCCTTGATTTTTTCTTTGCTTCCAGTCATGGGGCTTGATCTCAGGGCCTAGGTTCTGTCCCTGAGCTATTTAGGCTAGTGCTCTACCACTTGAGCCACAGCTCCATGTTTTGGTGGTTAATTAAGAGTCTCATAACTTTCCTGCCTTGGCTGGCTTTGAATCGTGATCCTCAGATCTCAGCTTTCTGAGTAAGTTGGATTATAGATGTGAGCCACCGGCACTCAGCTGGTCCTTATCTGTCATCCTTGAATAAGTTACCAAACTTCCAGACCTTCCGCTCCTTTGTAACATAGAGAATGATTTCTATGCTGGTGGATTGTTTGGGGTAATCAAGGTAGCCTGGCCCTCGTGCCAAGTACACAGCTCTTCTCACCTCTCTTGACAGGGCACCGCAGGTGAATTTCTCAAAATACCTAACAATTCCTTAAGTGTCAAAAATAGGGCTAGAAGCTCAATGACAGAAAGCTTGCCTAGCATGTTTGAGGTCCTGAGTTTCATCCGTAGTACTGGATACATGAAAAGTCAAAAGTGGCTGGGAATGGTGGCTCACTCCTGTGATCCCAGATACTTAGGAGACAGAGATTAGAAGAATCAGTGTGAGGTTTGGCCAGGCAAACATTAATGAGACTCCTATCTATTTCAACCAGTAAATTGGGCATAGTGACACATGCCTGTCACCCCAGCTATGTAAAAAACATAAATAGGAGGATTACAGTTCAGGCTAGCCTAGGAAAAATCAAGACTCTATCTAAAAAATAAATAAAACAAAAAGGGCTGGGTGTTACCACATAAGTAGAAGAGCATGTGTGAGTCCCTGTGTTCTATCTTCAGTAACACACACACACACACACACACACACACAGAGTAGCCATGTATGGTGTACACCCTGTAGTCTCAGCTACCTGGGAGGCCAAAGGAGGACAATTTGAGCCCCGGATTTCAGGGCTAGCCTGAGAAACAGATTGAGACCCAATTTCAAAAAAATGAATGTAAGCTGGTGGCTCACATCTATCATCCCAGTTACTCAGGAGTCTGAGACCTGAGGATCATGTGTTCAAAGCCTGGCTAAGCAGGGAAATCTGTGTAATTCTTATCTCCAATTAACTACTTCCAGAAGTGGAGGTAGGGAGTAGTTCAAGGCAGTGCTGACATATACGTGCACACACACACACAGAGAAAGCTATATTTTCACATTTTACATATACACAGTCCTCTAGTAGATATTGTCATTAATTTATTGGCCTTTTGCTATGCAAATAGACACATTCTTCCAACACAAAAGGAGAAGTAGAGTTTGTGTAAGACAGTCTACACCTACTTTAATTTTGGTTCTGTCATCATAAATGACTATATTTCAGATAAACCTTTAGGCATCTAACACTCTAATAAAAAGCTTACCAGTGAAATTCAATTCTTCACAGCCCTCCTTTTATCAAATTAACAGATGCTAATTACTATTTTTAAATAAGGGACAAGTCTAAGATTCTTCAAAGGTCTTAAGACACAAAAAGTAGGTAAAGTCTTTGAAAGAAAAGTAACTTATAAAGGACTTCATAAAACACAACTCCTTCACATGCTATTCATTTTGCAAAAGTTAGGTCTCCTAATAAGGCTTTTTATTTTATCTCAACATCCAAGCTCTAAAGGTTTTAAAATATTCAACTTGCCTTTATTCTTTTTTGGGGGGAACAGAGAGAGAAGTCTGCCAGCTGGTCAGAAGCCAAGAGTTATCCAGTAAGACCTGAATGGAAAAAAATCTATGATTTGTTTATTTCATAGTTCAAGTTCAAAAGCAAGAGATAATTTAAATAATAAGAGGGGCAGGGGAGGGGGAGGCAAAGAAAGAAAGAAAACAAATCAGTAAGAGCCCAGAAGAACCTTCAAGAATTTTTTAATTCGGAAAATGTTATTGGTTTAGAGAACTTGACTGAAAGAAAACAGCTGGTCAGAGTTCAAGGTTTTAAATTAAAAACAATCTAACAAGATCTATGGGGAGAACTCTTTGAGCCATATTTTGGAGACTAGATTCATTTCTACCAAGTAAAAAGTAATAGCAGTCTAAGTGAAAAGGGAAATTCCTCACAACTGAGGTAGTTAGTAAATATCAGCACACTTAGCTACTTATAATCTATTTTTCCTCATACATAAATGAGTGCCTTCACAATTTTATGTCTTTTGTGATTTGTTTTTTTCTTTAAAAAACAAAAAAAACCAAAAAAACACTTACACACACCAGCCAGTATATGCCTATTTTATTAACATCATGCTTTAATAAATAACTGGCTACTTCTAATAAAATCAAGCCTCTGTTTACAACAGCCCCCAAGATTCCATTTTGATCATTCTGCAGAATTTGGTGTAAAAAAAAACAAAATAAAACAAAACAAAACAACAACAACAAAAAAAACTGAATGAAATGTAGACCCTGAGCTATCAAGTAATTATGTTTCAATATAAAAATAGAGAATTATTCTTACAACTGAAAAGTGAACAATAACACAAACAACCTCTCTGGAGGGTTTTTTGGTTCTATAAAATTGGTTGGGATCTCCATGGCTGTCCTAAATAGAAGACACTTGCAGAATTTTAGTCTTTCTGAAGAATCTCCTTGAAAGCGATCTGTTACATTCTCAGTGTTTTGTGAGCTGTCTTTTGGTAAGGACACCAAGAAAGGGGTTGTAAGGGGCAATTGTCAGTCTTTGGCCTAGAACAATAGATAGGGCCGGTTGCCATTGCCAGCCAGTTCATGCAAGTGGCTAAGGGTCAGGGATAAGATGGGTCTTCTCAGCTCTATCTCCTCCCATTGCCCCTCCCCCCATTAATAAATGAAAAATCTGGACACCTTGTTCTCCCCTTCCCACAATTAGCTGATTGGCTGGTAGAGGCAGCACACGCCTACAATTTACTGCAAGTCCTTTGCTTTACTGACCAGAGTGGGCAGGGCAAGAAAAAGACTCAGACACATCTCTTGGAGGAAAAACAACATCAACAACAACAATAACAACTGGGATCTAGAAACAATGCAAATGCACATATAATAGACCGAAACTTTGCTTCGAGAGTTGACAACTATTCCCTGAGCCCAAAAGCTGTACCCCAATTCTGGCTAGCATCTAGCTAGCTCCTTTACATGGCTGGGTTTGAAATCAGCCTCACTCTGCTACAGAGAACCAGATGCCACTGTTGGTCATTCAGTGCTGCCACTGGGATAAAAACTGAAAGCAGGGCAGCATGGATGTGAAAACTGATACACAGTGGCTGGCTAACTAGCCTGGTTTAAAAACAACACAACACATTCTGAAATGCAAGCACGATCGTGTGATAATGGGTATATCCCGAATGCCTTCTGTCTATGTCAAGACTCTTTTCGTCGGAGGAGGTACTCTTTCAGTATAAGCAGATTTAAGAAATGGACCTACATTGTACTCTTAGCTTATGCAATCCAACTCAACCAAAATGGGCCATCTGTAGTCTCTTGCAGTCACCAGTGATAAAGTTATACCATTCTTGTTGTATGGATGTTTGACTACAATCTGACAAGTGGTTCAGATTGTAAGTACAAGTGGCTCAGAAGGTCCAAGTGCCTACTGTGTTCAATTAATAACAGTAAAAACCCCATCTCACCTCCATTTCTTTGCAGATAAGGCAGCTAGTAAAATAACAGGGATAAATGGAAATTTTACGGCTTGTTGGGCTTTTTCTTTTAATAAGATAACATGATAAATAAAACCTGCTTCTGTACAGCTATTTAATATTTCAGAAATACGTACATGTTACATGCCAAGAAAGGACCCTGGTTTTCTCATAAGAAACAAGGTGAGATCATAATTGGGAGGAAAAAAAAACACACCCACAAACAAAATGAGGAAAAAAACAAACAAACAATAGTGATAAAGTCACAAACACACAACTAACTACAGTTCTGTACCTAACTGTTAGCCACATTTAACATGATTTGGAGGGACAGAGAGCATCTTTCTGTATGAGTGCCTCTGTCCCCCCTCCCATTAAATGAAAGAGAAAAAAAGCCAGCATTTTTTTAAAACCAGTGGCCACGTAGTAAAAACTGTACATTGTTGTCCATTCATTTTTAAAAAGCAAAGTCACTAGGATGGTAGAAAAGTGATATATCTGGAGCCTTTTAACTTTCTGACAATGAACCCTTTTTTTTTAAATCTCAGCATTTGAGAATTATCTCCACTCTCTTTGCATAACTAGGAAACAGATGCAGAAGAGAGTGAGGAGGTAGGGCTGGGCACGGGCATGGGCCCCAGCACTGTCGGCTTTATCATTGGCATTCTTCCCTGCAAAGTCAGTGGCATTGTACTCCAACTCCCAAGGGCACTGCTGGTATTCACACCCACTTCCACTTCCTTCTCCACTGCTTTCGTCACCTGTGTCGATAGAAAGAGAAGAGAGATTTCATTTCATATGCTCTGATCACAAAGTATACACACACATTTACACACGTGTACATATATGTATACATGTATAGACATACAGGTGTACATGTATCTGTATGTTTGTGAGCCATTGAGTAGCAGTGGCTCATGCCTGTCATCCTAGCTACTTTGGAGGCTGAGATCTAAGAATCACAGTTCAAAGCCAGCCCAGGCAGAAAAGTTTGTGAGACTCTTATCTCCAATGAACCACCAAAATAGCCCAAAATGGAGCTGTTGTACAAGTGGTAGAGCATTAGGCTTGAGCAAAAGAAGCTCAGGGATAGCACGCAGGCCCAATGCAACAAAACAAAACAAAAAAACAAACCAAACAAAAACACACACACATACAAAAATGCAAAAAAGAAAAAAACCCACCACCGTCGCCACCAACAATAAAGCTCATACTTGAAAATTGTAAAGCCTTACTGATATCAAAGAAGTCCACATCATTCCCATTGTAAGCATTCTTCATTTTACTGGTCATAACCCGCAGAGCCATGATCTGGCGGAGGACCACTATGTCTGGCTTGCTGGTGTCCACTTGGACCTCCGGGTTATTAGCCTGGTTGGCTAAGCCATTTCCAGTCACTGCAAACAGGTACCTGAAGGCAGAAAAGAGCCTATCAACATGATTTAGAAAATCAAAAAGAAAATGGAAAAGCGATTTTACCAGAGAGTCCTGCTAGATTCTACTACTTTCACGGAGCACAATTAAATGGAAGTGCTGCCATTTTTAATGAATGCTAATAGCCCCATTTCCTGCACATGTGTCTTTTTTCTCTCATCTGGCCAGGACCTTTCTGCAAACCATCGTATTGGAAGTATTTAAGGGCCAGAGTCTAGGTCTGTCAGAATGGGCACTTATCCAAGTTACAGAGTTATGGAATAGAACTACAAACCCAGTACCCTGCATAAGGAGCTGGGATCTTTTCAATCCCTGTACTACAAAACCCCAGGCCTAAGAAATCTATAGGCTTTCCTTGTGACTGCTCAAGACCTCCATTGACAACTGACCTTCCTCTCTCCACTCCCCCCCAACCCCAAGGACACCCAGCTTAAGAAGAAAGAGGTTGCAAATATGTGTAACACCTGCTGACCTGCTTTTTCCTTTGCCGTTCCAGCAATCATCCTCATTGCCATTTCCTGCAGCCATCCTCTCATCATTACACACGCTGCTAGGGAGAGATGACCAGAACTTCTTGGCCTGTTTCAGTTTCTCCTTGACATCAGTGACCTAATGAAGAGAATAGGATATAAAATGGATATAAAACAACAGAAAACCACTTTGGGAAGTGCCTTTTGATCATCTTTGGATCATTTCTTTCTTTGTTTTTCCCCCATTTTGTTTTGAGGCATCGAACGCAGGGCCTCAGAGTGCTAGGCAAGCACTCGACCCACAAAGCCACATTCCCAGTCCTCCATCATTTCATTTCTAAATAAGTGGTATCCAATTCACTTTCAACTGTAGCCAGAAATAAAACATGCAGACCAAATTTGTATTTAGAAGTTAGGCATTGGTGGCTCATGCCTGTAATCCTAGCTACTCAGGAGGCTGAGACCTGAGGATTAAGACTCAAAGCCAGCCTGGGCATGAAAGTCCTTGAGAATCTTACCTCCAATTAACCACACACATACACACAGAAATGTATTTATTACCTGACTTAAGAAATGATAATCCCGGGGCTGGGAAGGTGGCTCAGTGGTAGAGTGCTTGCCTTGCATGTATGAGGCTGAGTTCGATTCCTCAGCACCACATAAGCAGAAAAAAGCCGGAAGTGGAGCTATGGCTTAAGTGGTAGAGCACTAGCCTTGAGTAGAAAAGCTCAGGAACAGCGCCCAGGCACAGAGTTCAGCCACCACAACCGACAAAAAAAAGAAGAAGAAAGAAAGAAAAAAAAAAGAAATAACCCCTCTATATACTTTTTTTTCCTCATTTCAATTACCACCTGAGGCTCAACAGGCCCAATGCCCAGTATGATAAGACAGTCTCTTTGTCCAAGGCTTATATAGTCAGGATCAAGCTTATATATTATCCACTCTGGGATTGCCCATTAAGGCTCTTCCTCCAGAAGACAACCACCATTGTCTATTTTAGGGCCCTAAAAGTAACAAAGTAATACTATATTATTCTTTCCTTCTTTTGGCACATAACATCTGATATTAAGAAACCCCGATCATTTGCCTCTCCCCCTTTATTAAAGTTTTTTGGGGGGTTGGGGGGGTGCTGCAGTCCTGAGGCTTAAACTTGGGACCTGGGCACTGTCCCTAAGCTCTTTTTGCTCAAGGCTAGCATTCTACCACTTTGAACCACAGTGCCACTTCCGGTTTTCTGGTGGTTCATTGGAGAGAAGAATCTCATGGACTTTCCCACCCAAGCTGGCTTTGAACCAAGATCTTCGGAATTCACTTTCCTGAGTAGCTAAGATGACAGGTGTGAGCCACCACCACTCAGCCTTTATGGGGCCTTTTGAGAATAAGGATCCTTTCATTGGAGTCTTCCTGTGTCTAGCCTAGTGACAGGCACATAAGAAGCTCAAGAAATATAATGTGAAATAAAGAGAAATCCAGAAATGAAGCTTAATATATCCCACATCCTTGATCAAGGCATTTTCTGGGCTACAATTTCTGCCATCTCTATTATCAATTTGCTTAAGAAGTCACACCTGCAAGACCCACACAGCTAAGCTTCCCAACGAAACATTCATTTGAGAATAAATATTTCCTATTCTTTGCCACTACACATGGCCATTCCCCGCCAAAGTGCTCACCAGTCGATCCAGACTAGTGCCAGCTGCTGTGGTCGGACGTTGCTCTGGATGATAAGGTCTGAAGCGGGCACTGAAGGCACTTTCGGAGATGGAACGAGAAATCCGTCCAGCTGGGAGGGGCTTTGGGGGTCCACAGCCCTGGAAAACCTGTATTGAAGTAAGTATAGATGCATCATGGTAGTCACATGGCAAGTGGGGGGGGCCTCCCTCTCCTGTCCCAACTTCCGGTCTTCATTACCTTCTGGGACACTTGCACGCTATTGTCTTGCATGTTCATGATCGCATCAGAGATCTTCACATCGATAGGATCCATGACCGACTCAATGTTGAAAGGACCCTCGAGCCTCTCTGCCACCATCAGCATGGCATCTAATGTGAGGTTTGGGGAAGAACAGTACCACAAGAAAGGAAAAGCATTATTAGTGCAGCTTCGGGTAGTCAGTCTCATTTTGTATGATTTTTAAGAAACATTACTCTCCCCTGCCCCACAATACTGGGGTTTGAACCTAGGGATTCAGTTTTGGCTTGATTTTTTTTTTTGATATGAAGGCTGGTGCTCCACTTGAGTCATGCATGTAGCCCTGCTTTTTTTCCTGATACGGGGGCTTGAACTCAGGGCATTGTGGCTCTCACTTGTTTTTTTCATTCAAGGGAATACTCTAACCACTTGAGCCACACCTCCACTTTTGGCTTTTTGCTGATTAATTGGAGATAAGAGTCTCATGGACTTTTCTGCCTGGGTTGTCTTTGAGCTGTTATCCTCACATCTCAGCCTCCTGAGTAAGCCGGGATCATAAGCATGAACCGTGCCAGGCAAGGTCCATCTCTTAATTTGTGTTTTTATATAAATTTGTATGACATCAAATTGCCTTTATTCTCTAAAGTATGAAAGGACTAGATAAAATATTTTATTCTACAGCAAGAAAATCTAGTGAGGAATCTTCCATTCTATGGATTATTCATTTCTTTCTTTTTTTTTGGGGGGGGGTCCGGTCATGGGGCCTGAACTCTGGACCTGGGTGCTGTCCCTCAGCTCTTCAGCTCAAGGCTAGTGCTCTACCACTTGAGCTACAGTGCCACTTCTGGCTTTTTTCTTTGTGCTTATGTGGTGCTGAGGATTTGAACCCAGGGCCTCATGCATGCAAGGCAAGCGCTCTACCACTGAGCCACCTTCCCAACCCCTGGATTATTCATTTCTTCAAGGGTGAGTGGCTGTCACTGGAAGGTTCTGAGCTAGCATCCAGCTAACAAATTGAAGACGAGGGTAAGTAACCAACAAGCTAAAGCAAGGTGTCCTGGGATATGCCTAGGATTTTTCTGAGTCAAAACCAGAAGTCAGTTAAAATCCTGGTATACCCATTATTTATTTTTTTCCCTTCAAGATCCTTGAGGAAAAAAATACTTGGAAAATATAAATGAACATGTTCTAGGAATTGTAGTGATTTTTCAAATAATGAAATATTAATAATACAAGTTCTTTTGTCAAGTGTGGGGCTTGAACTCATGGCCTGGGTACTGTCCCTGACTGAGCTCCTTTTGCTTAAGGCTAATACTCTGCCACTATGAGTCACACTATCATTTCCCGTTTTTCTGGTGGCTACTTGGAGATAAAAGTCTCATGGTCTTTCCTGCCTGGGCTGGCTTTGAACTGTGATCCTCAGATCTCAGCCTCCTGAGTAGCTAGGATGATAGGCATGAGCCACCAGTGCCTGGCTAAATAAAACAATTTTAATATTAAGATAAACTTCCCATTTCCAATATGAGGACCTCAGTTTATTTTAAAATTCAGGTAAAAACATACAAGATAATACCCAAATAACTGGGTATTCACAGTGCTCATCCTCACTCATTACCCAAATGCCATTTGTAGACTCAGAGTTCCAGCATTTTCCAGAAAAGGAAGAAAGAGCCCCTTAAACAATAAGTGCTGAGTAATCCTAGATACTCCGGAGGCTGACACCTGAGGATCATGGTTTGAAGCCAGCTTGGACAGGAAGGGCATTTAGCCATGATGGGCTATTCCTGTGTAAGTAGGAGGACTTTTCCTCGGGCAATTTAAGAAATGATTCCTAGTCAGGGGCCAGTGTGCACACCTATCATCGTAGCTACTCAGGACACTGAGATCTCGGAATCACAGTTCAAAAGGGGGATTACTTCCCACAAAACTGGGTACCCTTTCCATTGCAGCCTATTACTGAAACAAAATGTGGTCAGCAACCTTCCACTTTCAACCTGAGCGCAATGCTACATGATTTGAATGCACAAGGTCATTTCAACTCCAATTCCAATGTCACAAGCTACAGATAGCTCTTTGGGAATTGGCATTTTTCTTAATACAAAACAAGAAGGCGTTTTCCATCTCCTCTAGTGCCTCAATGTGCTGGCCAAAGATTTTTGTAAACAAGTGGAACACAATTAAATGTGTTCATCATGGTGAAACCATGGGCACTGCCACAAACAGAAAGCGTCATTACTTCACAAGCCCAAGAAGACCATGGTTGGCTCCAAATAAAAATATAATGAATAGATAATAAACATCCTAAATGCAGAGGTTTAAGGAAGAAAAGAAAAAAACCATGCCTTTTGTACCTACTTATGCCTCTTTGGGTGAAGAAAAGCCTGCTCACTAATGTGTTTGTGAAAAACTGAAAGGAAACATAAACCCTGATTCTTCTGGCTGTTTGGTGTCTTTGTAAACTCTGAGCCAGCCGGCCATACACAAGGGCCTGGGAGTGGAGACTAAAGCGGGGCCTTTGTTGGCACTGGTGCCATGGCGCTGTGTGTTGCAGGGCTGAAGAATGCGACTGAGGATATGTTCTGCCAGCAGCCCATAGTGTGGGAGCCAAAGTTGCTTCTAACCCCAGGAAGTCAGAATCAGCTCCTTATTTGCTCCACAGCCGTCACAAGACCCCCAGAAGAGGGATAAGCTGGGTGTCAGTGGCTCACGCCTGTCATCCTAGCTACTCAGGAGGCTGAGATCGGAGGATTGCGGTTCAAAGCCAGTCGGGGCAGGAAATTCTGCCTATGAAGTAGAGCCTTAGCTCAAAGTGGTAGAATGCTAGCCTTAAGCAAAAGAAAAAAAAAAAACAGACAGCCCCATAACCACCACCAACAACAGCAACAAAAGATGCTCTAGGAGATGGTCACTTTGCTTTTTCACTTTTTTTACCTAAGGGCTATCTATTGGCTGGCTCCTGACCCCTGCCAATACCGAATTCTCACTAGTGACAATGTGACATAAAAAGGGTTAGCTATGAGGCAAACGAATGCCATAGTAGGTGAAGGAGAACAAGTGCATTTAAGAATAATTTGTGGCTGGGTGCCGGTGGCTCATGCCTATCAACCTAGCTACTCAGGAGGCTGAGATCTGAGGATCGTGGTTCAAAGCCAGCCCAGGCAGGAAAGCCCATGAGACTCTTATCTCCAATGAACCACCTGAAAATCAGAAGTGGTACTGTGACTCAAAGTAGTAGCAGAAAAGCTCAGGGACAACACTCAGGCCCTGAGTTTAAGCCCCAAAACCGACAAAAAGAAAAAAAAAGACTAATTTGTGATTTCCCAGAAACTTACCTTTTGGTAGTGGTGGGAGGGAGGAATTTGGTTTGTTTGTCAAATGGAAGGTTTCACAGTAATAGCTTTCCCCTCCCCCCAAAAAAGTGAGATCCAAGTTGTTTTACTTAATTGAGCCAGCCTGTCTTGGTACGAGTTGAAAGAACTTTTAAGGGCAGGCAGAGAGGCCATGGTGACAAGAAGCAGGCTTGGAAAATCAATTCCTCCTAGAACACTGGAGTTACCCATCCTGATATCCCAGCAACAATAAGCCATTTCTTTAGCATTGTGGTGCCAATAATCAGAAATCACTGGCTCAAGCCTGTGGTCCTGGCTACTTTGAAAGGCTGAGATGAAGGTGTCCCAATGTAAGGCCAGTCAGGGCAGAAAACTTTGCAAGACTCAATTTCCACCAATGGCTGAGCCCCGTGGGGCAGGCAGGCCCAAGTAGGAGGATCACAGCCCAGACTTGTCTGTCTAGCAAGCACAATGCCCTGAGTTCAAGCATCAATATTGCAAAAGAGAGAGAATAAAAGAAAGATGGAAAAAATTCCCTTGAATAATCATTAACTACACTCCATTAAAGGGCCATGATACAGGCCAGGCATGCAAATTGGGAATAATTTGACAGCCACAGAACAGACTCATTAAACCCTTGTGACATCAAATATAGTGAAAGCAGGGGTTATACTGTGGGGGAGGGATATACAAAGCAACAAAGAGATAATCTTATAAATGCGTTAGAAACACATGCATGAAAGAAAAAAACATTAAAATACATATCTAAG